GTTCTGTGGTCGAACCAGAGTGAAAGGCTTTATTCACACCTGGGCCACTCATTGTGAAAATGAAAGCAGTTTTGGTACTGTATTGAGTTATGATATGTGTAGTAGCTACATTTAGATGACACAAAGAGCAAAGTAGGACAGCAGTAGAATAAGCTTCTGTTCTGTCTCCTCAACATCGCAGTCAAACTTAAGGTATTCCTGAAAAAAGAAAGCTCATAAATGAGGGCGTATAAATGGGTATTTCTTTCCAAATGATATATGCTAAATTTGACATGCATTTTCAGATTATTGTGCATTAATTTAACTCTTTAAATGCACTCCTACTGATGAACTCTTATAAATAGCTTAGCATCAAAGTTAAATATAAAGCTAGATATTTACAAGAAATCCATTCCAGCAGTGAAAAAGCAGCATTGGTGCATCTTGGTGTTTTTGTTTTTCCAAGTCTAATAAGTAGCTGCTATGTTTAGGTCACAAAAAATAGCCTACAGCAGCCATAATATATGTCATTTTAAATGTCAATTAAATGCAAGACTCCAGCGTAACCCAGGAGGAACGGGCCTCATTATAAAAAACAACAAGAAAATGTAGAAGGCTTGAAGGTTTAATCCTTTGTGTGGACACAGCAGCACACATATTCTGTACATAACAATTATAACTGTGTGTATATAATTGATTAGCCGGAAACTGACACACTGGGCACTAACAGGCCTGCGTGCTTTGTCATTTAGGGGGTGTGTGTTTGTGTGATTTATCCCTGCTCTGTCATTAAAGGAGATGAAGGGAGGATGTTTGTCCAAGACATTCTTACAAGTCTACCCAGTGTGTGTGTGTGTGTGTGTGCATATACAGTATGTGTCCTTGTCTGTAGCTTGTGTAATGCAGTTAAGATCAGCTTTCTTTAAGGTCTGTCTCATAGCTTTAGTCATCCACATTCTGTCCACATATTTAATGTATGTCAGTGATGGCTGCTTGTTAATGAGCTGAGGTTTCAGCTCTTGTTTATCACTCACCTCCATCTTAAGATAAAGAGCTTGTGCTTTACTCTTTTGATTTTGTCCTGTTATGTGTTTATTCGTCTTTCATCTTAGTTTCAACCCAAATAATGATAGGAAAACTGTAACTGAAGAAAGTATTTGTAAGAGCCACTTAAGCACATATTAATATTTGGTAAGGATATCCGTGTTGACATGACACATCATGATGATATTTAAGTTTACACAACCGTTTCTGTATATTTTGTATAATGTATGGGAGTGGACTATACTGAAGTTATGTTTATATTTACTTTATTCATGAGTATGCATACACAAGATATTTATGCCAGGTATGGTGCCTAAAGCAGTTTAGTGCGCATGGCAGTAGGAGATTGTGGACAGTGTTGTGCGTAAAGACGACGTGAAGTTTGTGTTGACTTGTTATGCAGTGTTGAAGTATAATAACGGGAATATGATGAGAATATATAGATATGGGACATCAAGTCGGTAGAGGACAGCTCAAGATGTAATTTTGGAAAGACTTGGCCTGTAGTTTTGTTTTCTGGATCTTTTTTGGATTCTCAGTAAACCACGTGAAACCTCCGTGCCTCACGTTATTACTGTGGAACTCGAGAAAAGGAACAGAAACACGAGTCAAAATCGAGACATCACTCAAACTAAGTGGCCTAGAAACTGTGGTATGTTGAAAAGGACACTACAGTATTGGTATATTTTTGTTATTTGTATCTGACATCTCAAACACGCTAACACTGACGTGACTGTAGGCAGCTGATTATTTATACTAACAAAGCTTCTTACTTATTCTTTCTTATTCTAAGAAAATTAAACCTCACCATCTTAATTCAGGGAATTTGTCCTTTACCGTGAATGGTGATAAAATTCTGGTATACAGTTGTCTGGTCTCAGGTCCCTCCATTCAAGGCCAGCTTGGTGTCTTAAATCGTTTTTTTAAAGTTTGAGTGCATTAAAACTTCAGCATTGTCCTGCTTCAAATCCAAGCTCTTAAATTCACACCTGGGATCTGCCTAGCGTTCTGAGTCATCTGGAGCAAATAATTATAACCTTTCAGTAGTGATTACTGTAGATATAGTAACTAGGCAGTTGTGCTTCTTTGTCTGTTTATTCAGGCTTTTCCATTGGCACTTATGGCTGCGCCAAGTCAAACTTTGCCACACCGATTTGCGTTTCTATTGTCAGTTTAAACATGCCGAGCCACACCCAAAATGGATCATCTCTGGATTCAGGCTAAAAGTGTGTCTGACCGACTCCAAGCTGGTAGTGGTGACGACGAGACCAGAGAGAAATACGTTTTCAGAAGTCTGTGTGTTCAGCCCTCTGTAGTTTCGTAGCTTCTACTAACATGTTGTTATTTTGCTGTTTCACAATAAAAGCTTTTAAATAACAGAATAAAGGGGGACTTTTATTGTGAAGAATCTGTAGGACAAGTCTTATTTTACCTGGCAGGCTGTGTGATGGAAAAACACTTCTTGAAGACACACCTTGAAGTCAAACTGAGTCAAGCTAAGACAGGACAAGTGTGTGGAAAACGGTTTAAATTTCAGCTGGCTTGTCTACGTGTTTTTTGATCACTTGAGCTGAATAATGGAGTTTCAGCATTTGGTGTAGCTGCTTCATGTGATAATTGATCATGACCTTTGCATTCAAACAGCTGCAGGAAGTGCTGAGTTACAGTCACCGTGGCTACAACTTTGTTTTTCTTTGTCAAGTTCTACTTGAAGTTAGTCCATATACACATTTGGATAATTGCTGTCGTCAGATGAAGAGCTGCTGGTGCTCACTGTAGTTTGGGCAAGCCTGAAGCTAAACCTGAAGTCAGTGCAGGCAACACTTTTTCTCATGCTCTCGCTGCAGCTCCATCCCACAACCCCCTGGGAGGTAGCGCCTCAGCCTCACATTGAGCCAGGGAAAATCCTTTGTAGTTTTTTTCTCACTTAAACACATACAAAAACTTACTGCATCAAGCATGCTGCTTCCCAGCGTCAGTGATGTCTGTAGTATTTGGACAGGTGCTGATCCAGTTGACAGGTTCTCATAAGCATGTTGGGAAATTAAGCTGTTGTAATACTGAGACTTTTATGCGCTGTAGGGCGATGAAATGTGTGTCTGCCAGAAGGAAACTTTACAGTGTGTGTGTGTGTATTTTTTTTTAAACATCTGTGGGGCAAACTGCCAGCTGTGCCGAACTAACGTGTCTGAGTGTAGGGAGAGACTCAGCACAGAGTTTGGCATTGCTCAAAGGCAACACACCAGCCTCGTGCCAGATAAAGACACAGAATATTGAATGTAAATCATCCAGTTATGTATTTAAAATTCAATCTTTCGGTTAATTTGTGTACCTGGTCAGGCTGGCAGTGGCAGAAGGGCTAGCAGAGCAGCCAAATGTCTTCTCCCACATTAACTTGTTAAGTTTTTCCCTGGGGAATCACAGAGTGTTGCAGGGTAAACTAGGAGTAGCGCTGCACTCACACAAAGTAGTAGACGGTCTCTGGCCGCTCATAAATCTGCAGCTCTGTGGGTGTGTTGCGTTGAGCATGTCATTTGCATACCCTGCTGCGACTTTACAGTTTCTTTCTGATCTAGATATTGTACCAAACTATGCACAAGGAAGTTGTTCATTTCATGTTGCACAGTTTGTATCCAGAGTACAGAATGGGTTTTGTTTTCAGTTCTGTCAAAGTGCTTCTGTTTCTGTAAGAATCAATATGATTGCTATCGCGTGGTTGTCACCTGCTTTGCCTGAGAGGACATTTGCATAAAGTTGAGCCTTTCTCAACACGTAGAGCCTCTGGGCACCTTTTTAAATCTCTGTATAACCAGGCAGCAGCACCAGGTCCCATTCACAATGAATGAGCCACGTATCGCTGTTGCACTTTAAGTCTCTTTAGCCCCGTTTCCACCAAACACTTTCAGTATGGTACCTTTGGAAACAAAAGTAACCCTTCAGACATGGTACCTACACCTTTGGTCCACCTAGCATTTCCACCGCAAACAGTACTCTTGAATATGGGTGGGGTTGTTGTCACTCACTGCTCCATCCAGCTCTCACTGTATCCTCATTATCAGGAACACAGATGGAAGTCTGCACCTTGTTTATCGTCCACAGAACAAGGCTTCATGCCGACATTTTCAGAACAAAATAAAACAGGCTGCAGTGAGAGTCTCTCTCCATGGGATATTTAAAAATAGCGGGTTTGTGCATTTAGTCCTTCTCAGGCAAACTCAGGGGTTTGGTGTTGCCCACCAGAATGGCGCTCGTCATCAACTGAGGATTTGGTTATATGCAGTTCACATAGTCCGGTTGAACATAATATATAAACGCTTGAAGATCCAGTCAGTACTAAAAGTGTATGTCATATAAAAACTAAAGTGATGATCAAAGTTGTCAGTGTGCTGTTGGATTCATGTCGTTAACTCATGCATTAAGTAACATTACAAGTTAACGTTCCACCTTAAAAGTTGCCGGCAGTTGGCCCAGTGAGCTGCTGCGAGAGGCAGCAAAACATGCTTTCATTTTATAGTTACAGTTTACTAATAAAACTCTCCACAGTATGAACAGTGGTTACATGAGCTACAAAACCAGCCACAACTCAGCCCTGAGCAGAGTGACTGTCCTCTATTGACCAATCAACAGACTGCAGTGTTCACATCTCCACCTTTTAGTACCAGATCTGTGTGCTAGGTACCCCAACAGAGGGGGGACCAAAAATGGGGACGGTACGTAACGGTTCCGTTGGTGCCATCCACAACTTTTCACAATGGAAACAGCAAAAAGTGTACCGAACTGCTTGGTGGAAATGGAGCTTATGTATGAATGGCTGCTAGAATGAACACACCTCTGTGTCCTGGCTCTGTCCTGGGTTCTCTACACTTCAGTGGTTCTATTTAAACAGAAATTCTGTTGATCTATCGACCTATATCAGTTTTGTATCAATAATGAATAGCATCACAAAAGTTGATTTCTCATCCTCTTTCCCATCACAGCAAATGGTGATGAGCCTGCGGGTGTCAGAGCTGCAGGTGCTTCTGGGCTACGCTGGGCGCAACAAGCACGGACGCAAGCATGAGCTGCTGACCAAGGCGTTGCATCTTCTGAAGGCCGGCTGCAGCCCCGCCGTGCACATGAAGATCAAAGAGCTCTACCGACGACGCTTCCCTGCCAAAATGGTATCCCACTCAGAGCTGGCCATGCCTGGGCCACACCACCCAGCCTCAGCTGGAGTGGTCGGAGGAGGGGGCGCCGCGCTGCCCGCTGGCCTGACACAGCTGGCGTATGAGGGTCACGCCGGTCACGGTGGAGCCCCATCGCCTGCTGCCTTACTGCCCCTCTCACTGCTCGGCCCTGGGAAGCATGAGTTAACCGGGCTGACGCACCACCTGTCCAGCTCGACCACACTCCACCCGGTCCACCCAGATGTCAAGCTCCAGAGGCTGCCCTTCTACGACATGCTGGACGAGCTCATCAAGCCAACGAGTCTAGGTGAGGGAATGTGTGTGTGTGCTTTGTGTGAGAGTTGGATTTAAGTAGATAGATACATTCAATCACCATGTATGCGCTACATTTGCACTATATATCATCACACTGCAGGGTATAGTAAATGAGTTTAATTGTTAAATGGAGTACAAGAATTTCCTGGTGGATAATAATTCATTTAGTCACACCTGCTTTCAGTTTTCAGCATTATAGCACCATTTTATTTTTACGATCTGGTGTTTAAAAAAAAAGAAAGTGTATGTGACATGTTTGTTTGTTTTAGTTTCACAAAGCCAGAATATACATGGCTGTATAATGTGCCAAGTTCCATGTCTTGAAAGGCAAGAAAACATTATGAATAGAGGGTTGTGGAGCTTCCTGTTGGCCTGCGGGTTAAGACTCAAATACAGTAACTGCAACTGAGCAGGGATTTTATTGCCTGTCATTCTTCTCTCTCTCCATATGTTTCCTGTCTGTGTCTTCACTGTCAAACTACCCAGTGAATATGAAAACGCTGAAAAAATAATATGCAAAATTGTGGGTGTTTATATCAGTATATTATTCCCATAGTAATCATGGCAGCAGTCACAGAAAACATTGACATTTATATTTCCATCGCTGTGGAGAGGCTCCCTGCCAGTGCTGGTGCTGGGCTGCCTGTTAATGTGTTGACAGGGCACCGAAATGTTACTGCAGAAATATAATTTGCAGATTTCCCAGGAGGGTTCAGAACAGACAGAGGCCACAGTTGGTTCATAAGATGTGTAAGTGAAAATATTTATAAATAAAAGCTGGAAAATTGGCTTTCTCAGATACTCTTATGCTGCTACTTACCATAGACTGTATATAGAGATGGAGGATGCATCTCCACTTCCTCCCACTCTACAAAAATGAAGCCAAAATATCCTGTGCTGCCATCTTGCACTGGTGACGCCACTGGGAGCCAGAGTCTGCCCATACTTCCGCCTGACCCAATACCAAATACACTGTTTGGTGCAGACAGCTGACAATCAAGACCTCACATCCCCTTAGAGCATCTAATAACTAATTAAAACTAAACTTAACAGAAAAATGAACACTTAAAGCAACGTACATGTATTCATTTTCTTTTTGAACTGTGGGAGGAAGCCGGAATACCTGGAGAAAACCCACACTGACCTGGGGAGAACATGCAAACTTCACACAGAAGGGCTCCCACAGCCCCCACCGTGGGTTTGAACAAGGAACCCAGGAACAATGCAAACCACTGCACCACCACCACTGCCTAAATGATACCAATAATCTGTGTAAAATATTATACTCCTCTGTCTACTCTGTCGCCTTCTAGTTATTATTAGTATTTCTAATAGCCATACTGCATGTGAATGAAAGCCACCAATCAAAACTAAGGAGTCTCTAATGCAGCCGTCCATCATGTCAGTCACTCTGTGAACTGCAGTCAAACTGTCTAACAAGGCAGCGGTGATCAGATATGAATCAAGATTCTGTTACTTTATTGCCCATCACTTCAGATGTTTTTACAATTTTAGTGTACTGTTTGGCCGTAATATGAGAAAGCTTGTGACTCTGCCACCATGTTGGATATAGTTAAACGGGAGCAGCGAGCACAGCCCACCAGCCGGACCTCATTTTAAAGCAAGAAATAGGCAATACAGTAACTGAATCTTGATTCATGTTTATTTGTTTATTTGCACATCTTGTAGTAGGATTATACAGTGGTCTCAAAAGAAAACATAAACAAAGTGTGTGCTGGAGAGGTCGGAATCCCAATCGGGCTTATCTAGTGGCCTCACCACTATTATGCAATTAGTTTATTAGAACATAAAAGATAATTAAAAAAAAGAAAGAAACACAGTATGGATAGAATGGACAAAATTAAAATAACTACTAAATAAAGAACATAGAATATAACAAGAAGAAGTTGTTGAAAACACACAAAAAAACAGAACATAAGTAAGAGGGACAAAGTTAAGTTGAAAGTAGAAGAATAAGGTGTCTAACTACCGAGGTACACAACAAAACAATACTTGGATGATAGTCCGGGTCAGCAGTTGTTTACAACTCAGCAATGAGTTTGTTTTTTAATCTAGGTTTGAATATAGGGAGGGACGGAGTGCTAGGTGCTAAATTTGAGTTTTTATTCCACAGAGAGACCCCTCTGTATTTAATATTATATTGCCCTCTAGATGAGATGATTGCCGAGTTGAATAGCTGTGAAGATTGGATTTTGTACAAAAGTATTGTTGGAAGTGGAGTGGTAGTGCATAGCTCAGGTAAAGGGACTTGTAAACAAGGATAGAGATCTGCATTGAATTAATATCAAAAATGGTTAGAATCTTAAGTTTTTAAAAAAAAGGGGAGCAGATGGGGCTTGGAAGTGTGACCTTGTGACTGTTGTAACAAATCTTTTTTGGAGTAAATAGAGTTTGTTGAGATATGTGCGACAAGTGTTGGCCCAGACAAGATTACACTATATGAGGTATGGATGCACAAGACTATAATACAAAGTTAACAGACAGGATCTATTAAGACAAGTACTGATTTTTCTAATAATTCCCATCGACTTTGAGACTTTGGTAGACACAGCATTGATTTGTTCTTTCCAATAACATTTTTCGTCGACAGTTACACCCAGAAATCGAGCAGAGGAAACTTAATTGATTTTATTACCTTGAATAAAAAGGTCAGCTTGTTCTGGGTCATATTTTTTCCTTCCACAGTATAATATGAAATTAGTTTTTTTTTTATATTAAGTGATAATTTGTTCATTTGGAACCAAATGGAAATGACTGAAAGACTGAGGATGGCTTCTTCAATAAGAGTTTTGAAATGTTTGTGGGAAAGAACCAGATTTGTGTCATCTGCAAATAAAATGGAAAAGACTATTCAGTGGCTCCACGCTGATGTAAAAATTGGTCTCACAGCAAGAAATATACACATACAATGAAAATATAATGACAATTCATCATGTGGCAAAACAAATTCCAGCTTGTATGATCAGCTCTGCCTATTTTGATAGTTTGACCGCAGAATGACTTGGTTGACAGCTGTGAGAGAGACTCGTTGGCTCTGATTGGTTGTTGCTGCCACGCCGCAGTCTAATTCTAGCGAATACCATTAGAAACAGTAGGAAGCGGAGGTCGGACATGATTTTTTTTCAGACTATCTGTCTCATGTACTTCTTTCAGAATACAGTGACAGTTTCAGCAAATACGGCACAATCTTATTTACATAAAAGTTACCAACTATAGCTTTAAACATGTGATAACAACTACCTAAAACGACAGAAAACATGTTTGGAAAAAATTTATTTAACGTGTACTCTGATCTTTTAGTTTGGTCCATGTCTCATCAAGGGAGTGATCAAGATGTTTCAGCTAAATTTTTGGGGAGCTGTAATGTCGTCCATCTTTATACACAGTTTATGCTACTTACCTAACAGCAGTAGTATATGCTCAGGTGTTTATTTCCATTAATAAGAGCCTCCATTTAGTCACAAGCTTGAGAACAATATTTAGTGATGGTAATTTTGAGAGTGACATTCAGCCACTGGACACATTTCACTTTACATCACAGATGAGTAATGGCTTATTTAGATATTTATATTGTTATATATAGACTGCTATGCTGGAATTTGTTTTGCCACATGATGAATTGTCATTATATCTTCATTGTACATGTATATTTCTTGCTGTGAGACCAATTTTTACATCAGCGTGGAGCCACTGAATATAAATGAATCACTGCAGGTAGACCTTCAACAACATATGTTGACAGTGCTGCATTTATTTAAACAGAGTCACATGTCTCCTAGGATACCACATTAAGTGAGCAATAAGAGCCAAGACATTTAGGGTGTTTTAAGGAAACCTTTCATGTACAGCGGTTGAGCCGTCAGTCTGCAGCACTGCTGAGAAAACAGTTCTGCATAAAACCATCACCTCTTCACTTCCTGAACAAAACTCAGCTCTGTTTCCATGCAGGGAAACAGTCGAGTCCACAATAAGAGAAGATGCATATTATGTAAGTTAGTTGTCAGAAAACAACAGCTCTTTTTCTGTTACCATTAAATCTTCATGACTAAGCATGCAACAACTTAAGTTATCTCCATTATCTTTGAATAAGCACAAACTCAGTCATATAAAAATTAAAGAAACAACCTTTAATATAAGCTTTTTCATGAAAAGTATCAATTGCAGCTTCCTAATAAGTTCAAAATATAGACACTATAATGGGAGATATGATAAACACACTGTTTTGTGTTTAGCTTTACTCACTGTTTGATGATCCAGGTGCTTCGGTTGGTTTAAGAGTTTACTGATTTGCAGGATGTGTGGAGAGTTGCAGGATGATGCGCTTAAAAAATGAAAACAAAATCCCCAAACAAACATTCCCCAAATAAACAGGCCTTTACAAAAACAAACTTCAAATCAATGGGGCATTAAACGACTTCATCAAACAGTAAAAACTAAGATTAACCAAACAGCCAGCAGTTAAAGACTGTAACCCCGTGGTGTTTTCCACGCTCCACACTCACATCAGCACACCTGCCCTTAATTAAAGGTTCCCCAGATTCTAGGTCAGGTGGCGCATTCAAGTGACTCAAAAAGTAGGAAACTAGGACTTTCTAGAAATGGCTCTAACAATATCCTATAAAAAAATAACTGCTTTTAAAAGCCTTTTCAGGGCCCGTACACATGCCGCATCTGTAACCGCCTGGAAAATGCCAAGTTGGACGCTGGGCGTTATTGAGCCAGCTTTCAATAGCACAGCGGCAGGTTGTGTCTGTGGTTACTAAGCAACCTTAACAAGTACCGTATGATAGCCTATTTACCTGAAATCCTGAATGCAGAGCTGATCTTCTTCCAGGAGCTGTTTATAAGTGTGTAGGCCTGTCATCTGTGGGACGGATGTAAAGCTCTGGGTAGCCCTGCACTAACATGATCAACTTTTCCATATTTATCACAGACTGATATTACGGATAAAGGGGAAGATATCTGTCAGTT